AACCCTTTGAAGAAACCCTCAAAGCCGCCTTAACCCTACCCCTAAAAACTTATAGGACCCCTTTTAAGGACCCTTTAAACAAAACCCCTATAAACCCTTGCAGGACCCTTTTTAGGAGCCCCTTTAAAGGAACCCTAAAGCGCCTTAAGATCCCTTTAAAACGAATCTTATTCTAATTATTACGGTCTCTGAAACTCAAGAGCCCTTACTGTTGATCCCTTAAAGGAACCCTTATAGTACCCTTTAAAGGAACCCTCAAAGCCGCCTTAACCCGCCCTTATAGGACACCTTTTTTTGAGCCCTTTAAACTTTAAAGGAAACCCTAGGGTTTAGGGCTTAGGGAACCCTTTTTAAGAACCCTTTAAAGGGAACCCTAAACCGCCCTTTTTTAGAACCCTTTAAAGGAACCCTCAAAGCCGCCTTAACCCGGGAACTTTCGAGCCTTTTTCAGAGCCCCTTAAAAGGACCCCTCAACCCTTACAGGACCCTTTAAGAGCCCTTTAAAGGAACCCTATTCTAAATATTACGGTCTCTTATACTCTGGAGCCCTTCTATAGATCCCTTAAAGGAACCCTTATTATAGTACCCTTTAAAGGAAACCCCTAAACCCTTATAGGACCCCTTTTTAAGAGCCCTTTTAAAGGGAACCCCCTCAAAGCCGCCTTAACCCGGGCACCTTCGAGCAGGTCATCGGCCGACTCTCCCCTTCGGAGACGGAGATGTTGTTGAGCGTCTGGGGCCCGGGACGAAGAAAAGGGACACTTAGGGTTTAGGGTTGAGAGCTTTTATTCAGCAAGTGTAAAGACGACTCGCTCGGACCGGGCTGCTGGACAACGAGGCCTGCTGCAAAAAAGGGTTGAGAGCTTAGGGTTTAGGGCTTAGGGTTTGGGGTTTAGGGCTTAGGGTTTAGGCTTTAGGGTTGAGCGTCTGGGGCCCGGGATGAAGTTGAGGGACACTTGAAGCATTCTTTTCAGGAGCCCTTAAAGGAACCCTCAAAGGACGCGATAATAACTTAGCAGCGCCAGTAGGTAACTTATAGCCATATGTAGCCCCAAATCTGAAAAATGTGCCCTTCGGATACTAGACAACTAAGATGACGGTTTAGTGTACGAAGCTCCTTGAACAAGAAGCATTTTGTATAACCAAGCTTCAGTGCGAAACCGCGCGGAAGGGACCCGTGTGAGGGCATAGGTGCATGCCGTAGTCAAGATTTCTATCCGACAGATTGTGTGTGCTTAGCTAGTGTCCCGAAATCCCGCACAAAAGTCGTCCAGCACTTGCAGGCAGAGTGTCCGAACACTAGGGTCACTAGAGAGCAACACTAGGGCACATAGAAATTGACCATAGGTTCTTGAAAGCAACCTCTTGTAATTGGGGATAGTGGCTTCAAGAGTGAGAGTTTACGTGCCTTTGCTGGCTCCTACAAAAGTGGCACACAGCGTGGATCCCTGAGCAGCAAGATCTCAGCCAAAGCACAATTAAACCCTAAACAGTACTACCAAACCCTACTTTTTTGTAGGTTCTTATTATAAACCCTAATATGGAATTTATAGGGACCCTACAAAAAAGTAGGTTTTGGTAGGTTAAGGTAGGGCCCAAAACGACCCAGGCCGTGAGCCACATGAAGCCCTTATACCAACTCAAGTTCAAAAAAACCTGCAAACCCCGACCTTACCCCAAAAATGTACCCATGGGCTCCTTAGTAGGTCCTTTTTGGGATTACCTACAGGATTCTAAATTTGAACCCCCAAAAAAGGAGCTAGTATGGAGCCCTAAACCCTATAGCCCTTCTGTCGTTGGTTGTCTTTCGAGGGTCTCTGGGGATACGCTGTAGTCAACCGACCTGCCGTACACGAACCTCGTCTGGATGCGTCCGAGTTGCGAGAGCGTAAACCCTATAGCCCTAAACCCCTAAATCCCTAAACCCCTAAACCCTAAACCCCTATAAACCCTAAACCCTGGACCCAGAACCCTAAACGCCTAAACCCTAAACCCCTAGGGTTCAGCTGCCCCAAGTGTGTACCTCAGCCTGGCTCAGTGCAGGACCAAAGCTGAGGATCCGAAAATGCCTGAACCTACGAATCACAGGGGAAAAGGAGGGACCCTTAGTGAGGACCCCTAGGTATTTAAGGGATCAAAAGGGGTTCTATAAAGGGTTTAGGGTTTAGGGTTCCTTTAATAAGGACCCCTAGGTATATACCCTTAATATAGCTATTATATAATATACCCATGATATAGCCCATTATAGGGTAGGGGTCCCCATTAAGGGTCCCTCCTTTTCCCCTTCGAACAAATCCTCGCGCCCCAAGAGCCTCCAACATCCCTTCATGCCTTACCCTAGGGCTCCAGGAACCTAAATAGCAGGTTACCGTGGTATAAAGCATATGGCTAGTAACCTGCTGTTTAGGTAGCTGGAGCCCTAGGGTTATTCACGGAATATATGCTAGATGGGTTCTCACTTTGTTTTCTAAGCTCCCTTAACCCTATAAACTCTAAACCCAGGAACTTTGGGGGGGTCCTGCGACTTGCGTCCTTCGGTTTTCAATTCGGGCGAGTTTCCCTGCTCTGCGACATCGTCAGCTGGGCGGGCGGGGAACAACCCAAACTCCGAACCCTAAACAGGCCCCCGAAGCATGTGGAACAGCAGCCTTCCATTGATGTTGGGCCGTTGTGTTTCCGGAGTTTGGGTATATATTATAAACCACCAACAAAACGCCTTAAACCCTTAACAAAGAAGGTCTATTGGGGGCTCTGGATCCTCAGGTCTTGGACTACCGGCGGAACGAAGCGGCACTCCCGCTGGCCGTCGTGACCCCGTCGCGCCTGAGCATAACATGGAGGGTGCACCTGGAGCCTACACATTCAGGGTTTGGGGTCTGGGGTTTGGGGCTCAGAATGTAGAGGTCTTGACAAGTATTAGCCCTTCTCCTGTGTACATAGTGCCTATCGCCTCTCGCGTTGTAGGTGGCTTTGGCGCCGGTATGGTCGTAGGTGGGCTGGCAAGTTCACCTCAAGGCCTCAAAACGACTTCTTTGAACTGAAGTTGTGAATCCCTAGGGCTCCAGTTACCTAACTAGTAGGTTACTAGCCATATATTTTATACCCCAGAAACCTGCTATTTAGGTTACTGGAGCCCTAGAAGTTCTGAATGTTGTTCTGCTAGCCTGTGCCAAGTTGGTGGATACAAACATCTCCTAATTTGCTGTCGAGAAACCTCAACCTGACAGCTGCGGGAGTTCCCAGAGCGACCTATACTCTCCAATGTGGATCGCTGGTTGTCAAAATTAGCGTCCCTTTTGGGGTACCCTAAATTTAAATGATAGGTGCCGTATTACATTAAGGACCCGAAAAGGGATCCTACTTTTGACAACTACCCACATGGCTTCTACACCATGGGGTCCTGGCCAAACCATCGGCCAACGAATCAAAACAGCAAACCCTAAACCCAAAGCCCTACTATGACTGGCCCGTTATTTAGTTTCACATTGTCAGACTCCGAACGATTTGCCTCGCCTGGATTGTCCGAGTGTGAGCGCCGAAACCTCTAACATCCTAAACCCTAAACCGCATGGGAGACGCTTTGCAGGGTTCAGGGGCTTGAGCGCAGGACATGAGTCCCAGCTTCCGTTTCGGGTTTTTGGGTTGAGGGGTTTCAGGGTTGAGGGTTTTAGGGTTCGTAAAGGGTTTAGGGTTGAGTACGGTTTAGGCTTTCCGGTTCGACTCTCATGGAGTTCTAACAAAGCTTTCTTGTCAAGGATGGTTTTTGGGATTTCCGGTTTACGTTGTAAGGTCTGGCCAATCGAAGTATCTACGGAGCAAATCTAGAAGGTTGGGTAGTCACACTATTCCGTAGGGCTCCTTCAAAACCCAGTCTGTCTATGAACGCCCCCCATGTTATACCACATGCCTAAACCAAAACTTGCTATCTCCTAAACCGGCCTACCAGAGACTCCAACATCCCTTACTTGAGGAATGAGGAATATACCTTAAATCATATATGTAACCCTATCATAAGTTACGGCATTTTCTGCAAGGAACATTGCCTATAGTCTCCATTGTAGTTCCTTTTTTGGGTTACCTTATAGGATCCTTAATGTGTAATCGGCTCAACCAAAAAAGGGAACTACAATGGAGACTACAGGTACTATACCCTAAACGCTACAAGCCCTAAAGATCCCTTATAGGAGCCCTTATAGATCCCTTTAAAGGGACCCTTATAGGTACACCCCTTATACCCAGACCTTCCAAAATCCCTTAATTAAGGAATATACCTGTATATTCCTTAGTTAAGGGGTTTTGGAAGGTCTGGGTGGTGGAGTCTTTCGGTAATCCAGGTGAAGAATCCAGCCAGGCCTCGAAACCGCTTTGTGTTGAGTGCAGGGATTTGGATTTAGGGTGTAGGGTTTAGGGTTTAGGGTTGACTCCCGGATCCAAAAAGTAGATTCTATAAAGGTCCCTAGAGGGTGCTATAAGGGTTTCCTCTAAGGGGCCTTCCATCTTGTAGTAGCAGGGGATCCCAAACCGGCTGTTTTAGGAATAGACCAGCAAATGTAGGGGTCATGACCTGCTATTTTTGAAGGGTTTGCAAGCCCTGCAACATACTCAATTTTGGGCTTGGGGTTCAGGATTTTTGTGTTTAGGTCTCTCGCCATGGACTGAGTTTGGGGCATGAACACGGATCGTGCCAGCGGCTAGATAGACATCATCAGACACCAGGCTTCAATACTCTCCTGTCTTGGTACGTGGCGTCAGTTGCGCGACTCATGACATGACGCAGAACTCGGTGAAAAGCTTCAATGATACAGAAGCCCGGCAAGCTACGGCAGCTCATGTCTGTTGCAGCTGTGGAAAACAAGTACCCTTTAACGACAGGAGGGCTACTAGATCAGACTCTGACTGTAAGAGGTATCCTTGGCGTCCATGACGTAAGCATTCAGACATTTAGAGCCGGCCTTAAGGGACAATCTTGGTTGCCGCAGCTCCTGATAGCCTCAAGCGCTATGGCTGCTTCTGGCTCGGGCCGGGGGGCGGAGACAGTTTACCGAAACCGCGATGGCAGCTCGGTCTGAGGGTAGTTTTGGCCCCAACCTTCGCGCCTCTGACGGTGGGTTTGGCAAGCTGAGGTGAGGAGCCGTTTAGGCTTTGAAAGAAAAAGAGATCTATCGTACTCGTACTACCAAGACCGTTCGTCTGTTGATTGGCGTCTGTTGATTGCTTAGTTTCTGTATCGGTTATAGGGTCGTGACCATATTATAAACAATGCATAAGCGATTGAGGCGGCTACTGTGTCTGTGCATGTGTGTGCGTCTGCGTCTGTGTGTGTGTGTGTGTGTGTGTGTTTGTGTGTGTGTGTGTGTGCGTGCGCCTGTGTGCGTGTGCGTGCGTGTGTGCGTGTGTGCGTGTGCGTGTGCGTAAGCGTCTGGGCTAGGCTCCCAGCTCTGTGGTTTAGGCCACGGCTTAAGGTTCAGGGTTCAGGGTTAACCTTTATTAGCCAGTCTGCCGGGCGCTTCGTGGTTCGATGGTCCTACCCATAACTAAGTAGTCAGCAATTTCACTGCAGAATCCCTTTGTAACTCCACCTCTGCTTTCCCACGTACTTCCTTTCTTTGGTTGCGTGGGTTTTGTGTACATGGTGGTAGCCATAAACGTGGATCCAAAAGGAACTACATGGGAGAGTTTAGGCATGTGTACATATAGGGAGAGAAAGAGACTATGCCAGGCACAATAAAACTAGTAACAATAGTATGGGTAATAATAACCTCAATATGAATAGCAAAAGGCAAAAGATAAACAAATGAAGATGATTATTCATAGTTCAACGGTAGTACTCAGAAGAAGAAGAACAAGACTAATATGTATACATATATATGTAGATAGAAATATACAGGTATTGTCATGGACAATGATATCTTTTCCTCATCGCTAAGACCCCTCGGTGTCGGGTTCCTTGTGGCTCGGTTCTTTTCAGAGACCCAGTAGCCGAGTGAGTACACTTTACACTTTTTGGGACAGTATTCTCCCTTCTAGAACTCAAAGTGTGCACTTTTGGGGGGTTAGTATTCTCCTTTCTAAAACTCAAAGTGTATCCTTTTTGGGGTAGCATTCTCCCTTCTAGACCTCCCAGTGTATACTCTTTGGGGTTAGTATTCTCCCTTCTAGACCTCAAAGTGTATACTCTTTGGGGTTAGTATTCTCCCTTCTAGACCTCAAAGTGTATACTCTTTGGGCTTAGTGTTCTCCTCTCTAGACCTCAAAGTGTACAACGTTTTGGGGCTTATGAACTCCACAACGAGGGAGAATCTCAGGCAAGCGGATCGAGCGAGAGGAATGGGTCGACCTGCAGCAGCAGCTCGGCCTTGGGTTGATCGTAAGGACCCTTAGGGAAGTAGGGGGGTTTAGGGTTTAGGGCCTAGGGTTTTGGGCTTAGGGTTTGGGGATTATACTTCCTTGATCAAGTCCTAGGTATTTAGATTTAGGCCCCCTACCCCCCTCCCCTACCCCCCTAAGGGTCCTGATGAGATTCGGGGTTATAGGGTTTCTGTTTTAGGCACCCCCCGAAGGGTGCCTTTTAGGTTCCCTGTAAGGGTTCCTCTCAGCTTCCGATCCCTTTCAGGGTTCTCTGTACGGGTCCGAGTGCCCAACGAATAGGAGGGATTTAGATCCCAAAAAATAAGCAGAGCTCACCATATAGCAGCGTACCTATTGGAAGCTGTTGTCAGGGGGAAGGCTTCCACGGGTCGCATTGTTCCAAGGGTAAAAGGAAGGACCCTTAATAAGGACCTATCATACAGCCCATTATAGGGTAGGGGTTCCCATTAAGGGTCCCTCCTTGTCCCCTTTGAATTGTTATCAGTGTCAACACTCGGCGGTTCGCCCCCGAAGACTCCGCGCTGATCTTTTGGATCTCTATCGATGGCTACGGTGTGACGGGAGACGTCAACGATTTAATGTACGTGCTTGTTCGTTAGGGCGGGGATCAGTTTCGCACTCTTCCAGGAATTTGCAGAGCACCGTAGCTAAGAAGCCTAAAATCCCAACGCGATTTTCGAGGACTCTTCATATGAGTGGTGCAAACAGAATACCCAAAACCCAAGTCAAATTCCTGGGCCCTTATATTATTATTCTAATCTCCCAAAGTCACTTCCCCAGGCCCTAAACCCCACACCTTACACCCTAAACCCTAAAACCCTAAACCTTAAACCTGGCGTTAGCTTAAACCTTACCTTAACCCTGAAGGACCTACCTTTTTAAGGACTTATATAAAGAAATCATAATAAGGAACCCTAAAAAGGTAGGTTATTCAGGGTTAAGGTAGAGTCTATAGACCCTAAGCCGCTCAGGAAGAAAAGGAAAAAGCGAGTCTCCGAGTACCCAGAGCAGGCTCCCCCGGCACGGCATGTGGTCCCTAAGCAGTTAGGGTTTAGGGTTTAGGGTTTAAGGTTTAGGGTTTAGGGTTTAGGGTTTAAGGTTTAGGGTTTAGGGTTTAGCCTAAAACCCTGGGGTTCCTTTTAAGGGTTTTCAAAGAGGGTCACTAAGCCCTAAACTTGAGGGCTCCTTTAAAGTATTCTTAAGAAGGGTGCCTAAGCCCTAAGCCCTGGGATTCCTTTAAAGGGTTCTTAAAAAGGGTCCCTATGCCCTAAACCCGGGTCCTTAAAAAGGGCTTTGGTAGGGTTACTAGAAGGGGTATTATGGGGGGGTTTAGAACAGGGTCCTAAATACTTTTTTGGAGGCTCCTGATTATAATCCTAAACCCGTTGCCACACGGAGCAGGGACGTGAAAGAAAAAAACCTAAACCGACTTGAAAGGTGGGTTGGGTGTAGGGTTTTTACTAGGGTTTTGGATGCCGGTGTAGCCTAAACCCTAAACCCGTAAATCCTAAACAATATATCCTAAGGTCCTAAACACAAAGCTCTTCCCAGAAAGTCCGAGTTGCAAGTGCGGACAACTTGAGCTCTAAACTGAAGTTTGTTGGGGGTTCGGCGGAATTGACTTCGCTTTTTTGCGTGTCTAGATTTTGCGGTTGAGGTCCGGAATTCTGTGCAGAAGTTGAGAGTTTGTTCTTTTGCACTCCTTGGCCTGACACGGTGGGTCGAAACAACCGGGCCGGAGTCAGAGCAACAAATGGGTCGGAATACATAAAACTACTGTGCTCATTTTCCCATGTACCTATGACACAGACCTATGATACAACATACCGGAATGCGCCCCCGAGCACTTGCTGATAAACCAAACAAGGCTTACATTGACGACTTTACGTACAGGTACACCCGAAGTCGCTTGAATCGCTGAGCTCCCAAATCTTTCAGCCATAGACACAAGCCCCTCACCTTCAAGCCCAGAGAACTGGGTCTGCCCCGCCGGATAACAAGACAAAAAAATGCCATGAGGCCCCTACAATCTCTCTTGTCCGAAACCTTGATCCCGGAAGCTAAAGCATTCTGAATACTTAGTTGGACTGTTTCTGTGGGGCCCTTAACATGCCCATCGTAGAAAACCTGCAACCTTTCTCAAAAAGTTATTACACAAGCTTCTATATTCCGGCCTTCAGCCGGCCTGTCGTTATGCTTCACCCCCCCCTGGCAAACCGTAAATTTCAAACCCGAACCCCAAGGGTCTAAGGCAAAAAAGTAATCATATACTCTCCCACATAGTAACCTACATAACTATGATCCGAAACCTAAGTACCTCATTATTGGGTGTTTTGGACCCTTAGGGCAACCTTAACCCCACGTAACCTACCTTTTTAAGGACTTATATAAAGAAATCATATTAGGGAACCCTAAAAAGGTAGGTTCCTTAGGGTCCAGGAAGGCCCTAAGATTTCCTCCTTGCCCTTCTGCCCTGAGCCTTGGGAGTCTCAGGATGCTCCATCTCAGTGACAGAAGCCTAAACACCGTTGGAAAATGGTTTAGGGTTTAGGGTTTAGGGTTTAGGGATGGATGGATGGATGGATGGATGCATGGATGCATGGATGGATGTATGTACGCTCATGTTAATTTATGTACGTATTTACTTCTGAAGGTATGCATTCGTGTATTGGTCAAGGTACGTTGCCGAAATCTGAGACGACCTGCATGCGATTTATATCTCCCGAATCCTTTTCAGACCTAGTGAGATGTAGAAATTCAATAAAAGCCGTCAGACAAAGAACTAATAAACCAACAACAAACGGCTTCGTGGAGCCTCCTGCTACCAGGAGTTGGAGTGGGGAGGCGGCCTAAAACAGCGAAACAACACGGAGGAGGACCGGCCGGCTTCCTTGAAGGGCTCCTCTTAGGGCTCCTGTAAGGAATCCATTGGGGTTTAGCGTTTATATAGGGTTTATGGTCAACTAATCCATTAGGGTTAAGGGTTTATATAGGATTTAGGTGTAACTTAGGGGCTCTTAGAAGGAAGCCATTAGGGTTTAGGGTTTATAGAGAGTGTAAACAGTTTTTGCAATCTGTGGTAGCCGTGTGGCACGAGTCCACAGCAAAGTCGGCGCCTCGGTTCCTGGCATATGCGTAGTCCAGGTGTAAAAAATTGAGAATGTAAACTAGTTGCTCCTATGAGGAATCTAGGGCTCCAGAAGGGTATGGGTAGGGAAGAGAGAGAGAGAGAGAGAGAGAGACCCTAAACCCTAAGCTCCTAAACCTAAAACCCTATTTAGAGGGGGTGTCCTCACAGGGAATGAAGGGATCTGAGGAGTTTCCAGGTTCCACAAGGGTAGGGTTTTTCACTGTTTACTAACACCCTAGACCCTCAACCCGATGCCAACCGTGAGAATCCGAAGCCCTAAACCCTAAACCCCGAACACGAACCCTCAGCCCAAACCCCAACTAAAATCTAGAGCCAAGGCATCCCACGATTATCCTTCGGGGAGCTCCTGAAGCACACTCTAGATGCCCGAACACCCTACACCCATGCAGCCCCAGGGTGGAAGACGGCTTTTTGTTTAAGATTTAGGGTCTAGGATTTTCGGGAGGGACCCAATTCGGCTTGTACAAGAGTTACGAAAATACATCATCAACGCCTTATTAAGTGATTAAGTCCCCAACATTGCAGTCTCAGCAAGTTGAAAGATAGCACACCGCATCAGTCAAAACCAGCACAGAAGGTTGGAGAGGCTGAAGCAGTAGAGTCTGAGGTTTTACTGCAGGGTTCCGGGGTTTCCTGTAGGGAGTCTGGAAACAGGAAAAAGCCGAGATCTCGCGTATCGCAGCACAACCTTTCGCTCGCTTCGAGCCGGATGAGAAGTACATGAAGGAGCTGCCGCTGGGACGTACCACTCTTAGGGGCACTTAGAAATAATTTTATTTTTTGGTTATTGTAATCCCTAAGAAACAGCTAAAATTCTAGTTCTTGCTAGGGTTCTAAGTTCAGTATAGCACTTTCTTTACTGCTTTCAGGAATTATGTTGTATTTTCGGGGGTCCTCCAGCAGCCCTTATATGTAGCATCAGAAACCGAATAAAACCAGGAAAAGATCCTTCTGTAGAAACCTTGCTTGAACCTTCTAAAACCCTGCTAAAACCCTATAGGGACTTGCATGAAGCCCAAAACAAGCCTCAAAACGCCCATAGCCTTCTTCCCCCAAACCCTAAACCTGTAACCTGATCTCGTCCTATGACTGACCCATTAGCATGTCTCACTTTGTCAGACTCCGAACCACATGCCTCGCCTGGGTTGTCCGAGTGTGAGCGCCGAAACCCGAAACCCCTACACCCCTAAATCTGTAAACCCCTAAACACCTAAACCCTAAACCCCAAAACCCTAAACCTCTAAACCCGAACCGCAGCCCAGGAAAGCCAGGCAAGACTGGAACGATCCCATGCGCAAGTTTGAGGAGCAGGAGGCTACTACTGCTGTTAAGGTTTTGGGTTTCGGGTCTGGGTCCAGTACCCAAGAAGAGCTACAGGGCCTTGAGGGTTTTAGGATTGAGGATTGAGGGATCTTGGTCCTTCGGATTAGAGATGCTGGGTTGTTCGATGCTTCTCGGCTTCGGGCTTAGGTGGTTGTTGGCTTGCGGTTTAGGGTTGGAGATTGTGGGCATAGCGCATGTTGGGCTTGCTTTCATTGGCACGAATCAAGGGCCATCGGATGTAGGTTCGAGCTTGCTGGTTTGTCGGAGAGCAATCCTAAACCCTAAACTGTTTCATTGTCTGTTAGAAGGCCACTTGCGAAACATGTAAACGTAGAGGCTGCTTCTGACATCTGAGAGATGCTAGCCCAAGCCTGCGCTTGAGCCCACAGCCGACATAACTGATATACCCTGTTTAGATTGAATCTTGGACAATGATCCATATACGGTTCCTCAGCGCTCGTTAACACGTATCTTGTGGTTTGCATATTTGTGTACATATGTGCACATACATACATTATGTAACTATGCATTTATATATGTATATATATATATATAGATTGATTGGACAGTGCACCAAAATAAGTAAAGTAGGAACCTGCTTAAGACTCCCTGGGCCCATAACCCCCAAAACCAGTAGGGCTGTAGGGTTCATAAAGGAACTCCTAATGAAGGCCCAAGGTTTCTTAATCAGGTTCCTACATTATCGAGGCTCCTTTCTCTACTCGTCAGACCATCTAAAACATCTCTTGAGCCCCAAGGTGACGGCACCAACGCTCCAGGGCAAGGCAGCGGCAGATGCTCAACCTCGAGCTGTAGAAAGGCCCAGTTTTGACAGAGAGAAGGAGGGAGGGAGAGAGAGGGAGAGAGGGAGAGAGGGAGAGAGGGAGAGAGGGAGAGAGGGACAGAGAGAGAGAGAGAGAGAGAGAGGAGAGAGAGAGAGAGAGAGAGAGAGAGAGAGAGAGAGAGAGAGAGAGAGAGAGAGAGAGAGAGAGAGAGAGAGAGAGAGAGAGAGAGAGGGAGGGAGGGAGCTAAACAACTCGGATCGTCTTTGTGAAGTGCCAGGTTTGTCAGCAATGCATTGCTCTTAATGCTCACGCGAGTATTCATTAGATTTCGCCGGCACGCTTACACAACGCAAGCAATCCGAGAAAAGCTTTTGTGTCAACAAATGGCGGTGTTTGGAAACTCCCAAGCCCTGAGCCCTTGTCCAGAAGCTTCAGCCCTGCGCGAGGCCGAAATGCCCGCACCCGCCATGGCAAAATCGTTACGATCCCCGGCATTGAGTTTCAGAGTTTTCCGTAAACTCTACGCCCAAACTTCTGAACATCCTAGGACTAAGTTCTGGAATCTGGAAGCCTTGTGCAGAGGTTACGTACATCTGGCTTTCCTGTACAGGCTTCATAAGCCCCAATCCCTGAACTTCACCTCTCGAACCCAAGGTCCGACACCACAACAATTTCCCAGAGGATCCATTTATACTACCAATATGTAGTTCGCTCCGAAAAGACCGTGCTTCTTATGGGGAACTTATTCCGTAATAGAAGTCAGTATGTATTATATATATATATATATATATATATATATGTATATATATATATATATATATGGGCGCACCCCTATTTGGGGTCCCCTACGTTTTTCGCTATACCAACTGACTCGGTTATAACCACCAGACTAGGTTATAACCAGCCGACTAGGTTATAATCAGGTGTACGTCATCGACTACAGTATTATATCCGGTTTGAAGACTAACCCGGGAAGTTGCAGCAACCCATGCTTTCAGAATGCTGAAACCCGCACAACGCTAAGAATTCTATGACACCCTCGTCGAAACCCTGTTACAATGTGCTAAAATCCTTGCCTTGAAGCCGTCGATATATCTTCGTAGTTCATCTTTGTGTGACTGTATCTAAACCGCTGTATTTCAGTTTTTCCAACAAGCGCGCTGTAGTCATGAGTCTGCTTCAGTCATTCCTTGTCGCGAACTAGATTTTGGAACGAAAAGTTCTCCATCTTTGTACTGTAATGCCGCAATCCCACCAAAGTCTCTGTTGTTGGACGCATTGCTATGACGTTTTGGCAAACTGAGAGCATTCAATGACATATCCCTGTGCCCCTATGTGATTGCTTTTAAACACTGGTATATCCGGTAGGTGTATTTGAGTGGTGCATTCCTTAATTCTGTATGACGGCTGCCCCAAGCCAAAATTGATAACTTGCATACTACAAGCTTAGCAAACGTTGTGTAGTGTTTTTCCTGGGGGACGACATGAAGCGTCGCTTCTTAGGACGCGCACTGTCTCTATATGCTGAGTGATGAAGCCTGTGTTTTTTTGTATCAGCATAATTTAACCATCACGTAAAGCCGACTGAAAACCATAAGGCTACATCTAGCTTGTCCGAATTTCTGTTTGTGTTCTTGTGAATATTCACTGAAGGTCGAATAGAAGCCATTGTTCCCAGTCCAGAACGTGATCCTCGTGTTAGAAAAAGTGGTAACCACACACCGAATCACTCCTCGAAAGAGGTTCATCCATGCAGTTGGAAATAGCAGTGCTAGGAATTTTCTACGTATCGAGCGAGGAAACCTAACAATTTGCAAGTTGCAAATTTTGTTTCGCTCACCACACATATTCTTATCAGTTTTGTCTCGTCGAAATCCGGCTTCCTTGGAACGATGTTTGAACATAACGTTGCAACCAGTTTGCCTATGTACGAAGTGATGAAACGTGACCACGCTGTAAACTTTGAAATACTGTCTCTCCCCTACGATGACGTCGTATCAGTCGTATCTCAACTTTCTGTGTACCGTGATATTCCAATGTTGACAACACTTACTGACCTACTTTAATCCCGATAGAGCCCCTTCATATTGCGCATTTTGATTCCTGGGTGAGTGACATGTTAGCGGCTATTCTCTCAATGTGTACACTGATCTCATAAACCCGATGTACTGGAACGGACAGACCATTATGTAAAGTCCGCCATATAGCCTTTCCGCTAAAGTTGGGGAATGCGCACATGGTCCCCGGAATTATGTTTGTTACAGAGCACTGCATCATGCCTCAGCAACCGGATACATGCCAATTACCTGGGACCCTCTATTCTTCTAGTCCTTGTTTACTTTCATTGCGGTTACATTCACTGAAACACCGAAACTTTCGAACGTTTGGATTTAGGTGTTGATGAAGTAGCGGTGGCACAGGCCTGGTTATAACCTCTGTCCCCGGTTATAACCAGGACACCTGCGTAGTAGACAGCCCTAGACCCATCACTAAACCATTAAACCATCAACAAACCATTAAATTAGTACACCGTTAAACCAATCCTTTCCCCCAATGGACCCATACCAATTAACCATTAAACCATTAAACCGATCCTTTTGCCCCATACCACTAAACCATTAAACCATTAAACCAATCAATTGAACCTATAGAGCTAAACCACTAAACCATTAAACCAATCCTTTCGCCCAATGCCCCTAAACCACTAAACCACTAAACCATTAAACCATTAAACCAATGCTTTCGGCCCATACAGGGATGTGTCCCTCTCTATAGGGGAAATGATTGGTTTAATGGTTTAATGGTTGAATGGTTTAGTGGTATGGGGCAAAAGGATTGGTTTAATGGTTTAATGGTTTATTGGTTTGGGTCCATTGGGGGAAGAGATTGGTTTAATGGTTTATTGGTTTGGGTCCATTGGGGGAAAGGATTGGTCTAATGGTTTATTGGTTTGGGTCCATTGGGGGAAAGGATTGGTTTAATGGTTTAATGGTTTAGGTGTGCAAAAACCCAGGGGACCCCATATAGGGGGGTACCCATATATATATGGAGCCTCTAGGTTAAACTCGAAAAACCGCCTATCGACTTTTGACAGCAGATCCAGACTTGCGCAAAAGGCCTTAGCAGCGGTTTTGGAAAAACTGGGTCCTTCGGCATTTGGGATAGTTCGCGAGCTATACGGCTTCGGGTTTACACGCCTTTAAAGACTTCTGGCATAAATCGTAGGGTCCTTAGTGTAAGGACCCCCAAAACAAGGTACCTTTATTTTGGATTGGAAACTCCCATATAGCTTTTTGATGAGAAGACCCAGACCTTCCAAAATCCCTTAATTAAGGAATATACCTTAAATCATATTAGGGACCCTACTATAATTTAAGGTATATTCCTTAGTTAAGAGGTTTTGGAAGGTCTGGGGACATCTCAGGAGATCCTTCCGGGATACCGCTGGGACGGCAAGGTCCGCGGCAACGGTTCCACGGCGGCAGCTTCGGTGATCAGGGTCTAATTATGGCAAAAGGGCCTAAACTAACTAAAGAATATACCTTAAATTATAGTAGGGATTTAAGGTATATTCCTTAATTAAGGGATTTTGGGAGGTCTGGGAGGGTCTAATTATGGCAGAAGGGCCTAAACAGTCATAATTTCTATGATTTTCCGCCTCCTTATTCCAATTATCGCATACGATGCCCTCATTTATTCCCCAGAGCTTCAAATGCGCAAACTAGGTACTGTTTGTATGCAGGTTGTTCTGGAGTACGAGAGGTCATCAGTCCAGAAATTGTTGGGGGTTTGGTGAGGGAAGGACTACTAGTGCATACGTGTATACAGGGCATGGTTCCTTTTCAGAAACACAAGTCTTAGCCAAGGGATTGAGGTAGCCAGAAAGTTTCTCAAACAACAAATTCAGCAGATGCTTCAGATGGTCTGTCAGGGTAGACCCTAAACCCTAAACCCTAAACCGCCAAAGCCTCCTCGAAGTACATTTTGCGAGCTCGAAGATGAAAGCTTCGAAGCGGAATCCTAGACCCCTTACGCAAGGTCGTTTTCGAAAACGACCATAGATCATAGAACTACCCAGACCTTCCAAAATCCCTTAATTAAGGAATATACCTTAAGTCATATTAGGGACCCTACTATAATTTAAGGTATATTCCTTAGTTAAGAGGTTTTGGAAGGTCTGGGTTTCTAAAACGACTATATATCATAGAACGACACAAGCCCATCAGTTAAACCCGATCTCGTCAAACGTCAAGTACATCTTGCTCAATACCTGGATGAACTCGAAGCCCAGAGCAACCTTGAGGTCCAAGAAGCGCTTACCCTCAGGCTCAAAATAGCCCAAAAGCCGCCCAGACCTTCCAAAACCCTTAACGAAGGAATATACCTTAAAAAATGGGGGTCCCGAATATGATTTAAGGTATATTCCTTAATTAAAGGATTTTGGAAGGTCTGGGGGCTTTTGGGGCCTGAAATCCTTAAACTATAAGTCCTCAGAGCCTTAGGGTTAGGGTTTTGGGTGCCCTGGATGCGACGACGATACGCTCGTTCTGTTGGTCGATACCCCCAAGCTAGGTTAGACTTGGGTTATATGTGCAGCAGCACTTGAGTATTGTTGCAAGGGCATGCGAGTCTTATCGGGTCGGACCCTCCGAAACCCTAAGTCATCGAGATGATGGCATCGTCACAGATCACGGTTTACTCGACCAACCCGGTCCAATACCATATCATCGTACCTTTTTGTATATTGCAGTATTGTATTTCCTCTCGATCCCCAGCGAAGTGATCTGCGTAGCTACATGGTTCCCAAGGTCCGACCGGTCTTGTGTCTGCTTCATTCTGTAGGATCTTGGGAGGGATGCAGTCAGAGCAGGTACAGTCACCTTAGCTGTTTCGATGCACCGTTTTGCTTTCATACTATGACTGATCCGTTAATCTGTTTCACATTGTCAGACCTCGAACTACATGCCTCGCCTGGATTGTCCGAGTGTGAGCGTCGAAACTCTGAAACCCCAACCCAGACACCTGAAACCGTAAGGCCCCCAACCTTATGTAGTTTTAGCAAATGACACAAAATCAAAAGCCCTGAGGCCCAGAGCCCGAAGGAGTCGACTGCAAGAAGCCAAAGCCCCATGACCCTACAGGTTTAGGGTCTAGGGTTTCCTGAGCCAAAACTTAACAGAACGGCACAAAGGGTAGTTACTCTGAACCAGGATGCCAGTTTAGGCCCCCAAACTTTGGGACCCTTGGATGGGCCCCAGTTTAGGGTCTAGAGAACTATCCACTAACAACATAACCTAGAGGCTTCGAGAAAGAGTACTTCCACACCAAGAACACGAGGTGGGCTGTTACATGAAAAGAGTTGCCATTTCAGTGTTCGATGAAGGCACTATAGGAGCTCCTTTAAGAGATCCCAACAGCATTGAAAGAAGGTGTTTTGGGTTTGGGGTGTGTAGGTTTTAGGGACTAACTCCAGCGTTCCGACGAAGATTCCTGGTTGAGGCCGAAACATCTTTCGATCGGGGATCGGGGAACCGTACCTGAAACCACCCAACTCCAATGGATTCCAGCGAAGCACAAGTGGGAGCGATGTCGACGCTAGAACCAGTCGGAATACTGCCGGAATGCTTCCAAATCGTGTATGCACCTCTTTGTTTGCACCATTGTGACAGTTCCTTATACGAGCAATGTTGTTGCTGCATAAACGCAAACAGTTGCAGTGGTGTCGTTCCCATCATCTCCATGCGCAGCATGTCCACGTCGAAGCAGATTTAGTGCCTTCAAGCCTTCCAATTAAGATAATGTTGGTGATGGTAGTGATGACAAGTATGACGTTGAAAGAAGACTTGGCCTTAGGCGTTAGCTTCGGCGATCACGATGAGATGGAGTATGGCATGATCGTGATGCTCATGATTTCATACTGATGACTGACACGGATTTTTACGACGACGACGAAGATGATGCTGATGCTACAGTTGTTTATGGTAGTGGCCGCAGTGAAGCGCAAGTTGGCTATGATTGTCAACAACAACTACACCAACAGCATCGTCGCGTGCACGACGGCTACGACCAATACCAGTCCTGATGACGATTCTGGTTAGTGCTAACAAGGTCACACTTTCCACGTTTGCACACTCGGCCCCTGATCAGCCGACAGCTCCGCCAGGGAGTTTGAGAGAGCAGATGCCTGGCGCCGCGAAATGGCAAACGACGACAACTGAGCGCCCAGTAGATGCACAACCGTAGCCGTGGGTGGAGTCTCCATGTGCGCTTTGTGCCCGTTGACGTGTTGATTGGTACTGCTGCTTAGAACCTAGTTCCTAAACCCAACACCCTGGTGGTTTGTGGTTTCATAGCATTGCTGGTCCCAGCCCTCGCAAGCCCTCTGCTCATGCATTGCCACGTGCAAGGAGAACTCCAACCCAGCACGGAAACATGGGGGCCTGAACTGAACAATTCGCAAATAGTACCTCCGAGCAAACTCAATAGTTCCTATGTGACTACAGCACATTGCCAGACCTTCCAAAATCCCTTAATTAAGGAATATACCTTAAATCATGTTAGGGACCCTATTATAATTGAAGGTATATTCCTTAATTAATTAAGGGATTTTGGAAGGTCTGGGTGCCCCGAAAACCCTGTTCCAAGAAGCCAAGGCCCCTATCCTAGTCTTGCATGAAGCAGATGTGCGGAGGCGGTCTGCTTCAAGTCCCACCAGAGCCAGCTGCAATGCAGCACGAGCGAGCAGTCGCACGAAACATGGAAAAACGTGTGCGAACGCAAAGTCGTTTCATTCCTGTAGTTGTTCTGGTTTTTGATGTGTGTGGACTCCTTTTCAGCCGTTTGGGTGCATAAGGTTCTATGGCGATTTTACCAAGGCGGCTTTATGGAGAATTCCCCTCAGGGTCTCGGATATTTGTCGGGGTTTAGGTAGGACAGAATGCCGAGGGGCTGCAGAATCCCGTGCTGCATGAGCTAATCAGAATCATTTTGCGGCAGGAGTTTGGCTTGTGTGGTTTGAAGTGCTAGAAGCAGCAAGGCTCGTTCTGGATATACCTGAACATAACCTTCCTGAGACCTTTTCCTCCTGAACCCAGGAACTCAAAATACCGAAACAACCTGATCAACACCACCGCGTTTAGTGAACCCTCTGGGTAAACCCTCAATCAGAATGAAGGCAGGAGAAACCCAGACCTTCCAAAACCCCTTAATTAAGAAATATACCTTCAATTATAATTGGGTCCCTAATATGATTTAAGGTATATTCCTGAATTAGGGGATTTTGGAAGGTCTGGGAAGGTTGAATCTTGAGCATGCCGTTTTGTGACGCACGGTTCAGAGTTTTGGGCTGATGCGATTTAGGCTCTTAGGGTGTACCTACAGTAGAAGCCAGAAAGTTGGAACATCATTAGCCTCATGCCCTTCAAGGAAAGTATAGGGAATCCCAGCATGAATCATCCTAAATCTATGTTCCAACTTTCCGGGGTTCACTGTATAGTGTCCATTGTAGTTCCTTTTGTTGGTTTAACCAACTTTATATTAAGGACCCGAAAAGGTAACCCCAAAAAGGAACTACAATGGAGACTATAAACCCTAAACCCGAAACCGAAAGGCTTGTTGGGGCCAGGACTTAGTGATTTTGGATCTTACAGGGTTTCCGGCCGTAGGGCTTGCAGGATCTGGGCGGAGGGTGTTTTAGGGTTCGGCTTAGGGTTTAGCATTTTTGGTTTCGAGATCTTTCGTGAGTGCTTTTGCTGACTCTCCGACGGCTTTCCCCGACTTCTCTCGCCGGGCGGCCGTACTTTGTGGGTTAGGGTTTAGGTGTTCTCTCTCTTGCGCCTCGCTTTTATGAAATCCTTAAGGGAGAGGAAGATCCAAGGGGGGAAAAGCAACCTGGTAGTCTCCAATTTCACTCAGTAAGTACTCTCTTAGGTTTCCAGGGGTCCCTCCGTGCTTGGCCTCCTTGAGGATCCTAGAATCCCAGAGGGTCCATATTATCTACTCCTTTTCGGAATTAAGACCCCAAACCACCATTAGGATGGTCTTTTAAGGCTTAATTCCACCCCCGCAGAATACAAAGACCCTTTGGAAATGCTTGCCGCATCTACGACACGCAGTCATGGTTGTACAACGAGCCCTGAACAGGTGCCTCCTGGACAAGTGAGTGGGGCGAGGGGTTCAGACAATGCGGTACCCGGTAGTTCCTCCCATTGAACCAGTCAGGGTGCAACGCGGAGCCCGCCAGCCGGAAACCACAAGCAGCTCCCAACCGTCGACACCAAACAGTCGTAAACTTTTCGAGTGATAGGCACGTGTTCCGCTTCAAGGCTTGGGCGTGCCCCGACTAGGGCAGACGGAATAGGCGGGCTTCGCAAGGGTTGAAATAGGATGTACGTCCCCTTCACCCTAGGCCCCAGACGTAAGCCCAAAGGTTCAGCCATGTAGTCATACAGTGATATTCCGTCAAAAAGACGTAAGCCCTTGACCGAACCCTCAACCCAGTGTAGAGTCACTCATTATTTGAGGTTTTGAGACGACATGTTTTCGGAGTTCCGGGGTTCAGGGCTTAGCGTGGGGTTCAAGACTGGAGAGACTGTGTCTGGAGCCCTTGCTGAAGATGCTGGCAGCGAGTTTCGCAAGTCCTGCCTGAAGTGGAGCATAATTGTATTTGTTGCGAAGATGACCGCAACCCTAAACCCTAAACGCCTAAACCCCCAAACCCCAAGCCCTTAAACCCTAAATCCTAAACCTCCACAACCCTAAACGCCTAAACCCTAAACCTTTAGGGTTCAGCTGAACTGCCGGACCACACGAGCCGCGAAGTTTCAGCAATGCACCATTTAGGGTTTATAGGGTTAGGGGTTTAGGATTCGGGGGTTTAGGTTTAGGGGTATAGGGTTTTGGCAGTTTAGGGTTTCGGGTTTATAGGGGTTTAGGGTTTAGAAAGTTTTGGGTTTAGGGTTTTTGGGGTTTAGGATTCGGATTTAAGGGTGAGGGTTTATAGGGGTTTATATAGGGTTTAGGAGTGGTTTATATAGGGCTTGTTACAAACCCCTACAATGTAGGGGTTTAGGATTTTTTTGGTTTATAGGGGATTGGGGGTTTTAGGGTTTGGGGGCTTAGGATTTGGGTCGAGGTTTCTGCTGTGCTATGTATTTGTGCATCTTGTGCAGAACCAGCTATAGCAGGGGCATAGCCAGCTAGAAGCATCGCAGGGTATGAATAGAGGTCCTTGCATTGGCATGGAAGACTACAGCTTCACCTCACATCGAAGCAGACCCTAGTAAGGCCCTAGTACTGAAGCTGACTGCTTCCAATCACCCCAAGCCCTAATTAGGCCCTGGGCCTCAAACCCCTAAACTCGCAACGCCTAAACCCCGAACACTAAGCCTTCAACCCCGTCTCCTTCAACCCTACATTCAAGGATTGTGCAAGCTCGCATAGTTCTTTCAGCGTCCTGAAATGTGAGGACGCTGGGATGTGCACAGCCAGCCGAGTCCTGACCCGCCCCCCACTTCCGAGCCTTCCCTTGCTGAGCTAACGGCGCGCAGCCGTTGCGTTTCGAATCTTCCCGGTCAGCTCCTGTCGGGATCTCAGGAAAGCTGTGCCCGTCAGCTGTATGCCTGCAGGGTTTCGGGCTTACCATGGTTTACTCCAAGCAGTCGGAGGGGGGTGGGTGCATAGCTGGGTAAATTGCGGTCAAGGCCTGGGGCTATCGGAAAGAGCATGTGGGAGTTTCCGAAAACAGAGGACCCTAATATAGTACCCTAAATTGTAGGATCCTTATTGTTGGGACCCCAAAATAAGGTACCCCGAATTTTCGGAAACCCCCATGCCATTCTCTAACTTGTGGCTCGCCGCTAGCCCTCGAAACGCGGTTGGCTCACTGCAGATCAGTCATTCTGGAGATATTTGTGTTGGAGACTCCGTGACAAATACCATTTCTGAACATATTTGTTTGTTCGAGACTGCAGGACACATAGCATTCGTGACTATGACCGTGGAAACCAGTTCGAGAACATCGTCGTCGCAGATTGCAGGCATTGGAATGTTTATAATTTACGGTTGTATTATGTTGCAAAACAAAACCTAAAGCCCTGAATAAGACTCAACACCCACAGAAACCCTAAACCTTAAACTCTTCATTTCTGGCTGAAGGTCGTCAAGGACGTGTTGAACGGTCCACGCGCAGATAACTGACCTGCAGCCGATGCCATCAAGCCTTCGTAACCCTAAACCCTAAACCCCTAAAGGGTTTATTGTTGCACGAAGGGGTTAAGGTTTAGGGTATAGGGTTTAGGTTTTTTTTTCCCTCCCTGCTAGGTAGGAGGGAAAAAAAACCCTAAACCCTATACCCTAAACCTTAAACCCTTCGTGCAACAAATTTAGACAATGAGACGGATACCGATCTCCAGCACCCTAAACCCTGGACCCTAAGGAACCTGCCTTTTCAGGATTCCCTAATATGATTTCTTAAGTCCTTAAGGTAGGTTACTTGGGGTTAAGGTTCCTGGACCCTGAATAACCCACCGTTTTAAGAAGTTTTGCAAGGAAATCAGCGTAAGTAATAAACCCGAAATGGCAGGTTCTTCAGGGCCCAAGGAAACCCTTTAGACTTTAGACCTCCTTCTTCGAAGTGGTTGGAGCCCTCGACCTTCTCAGAACCTTAAATGCGCAGGTGGTTAGGGCTCAGGGTTTTAACCGCAAACCCAGAACTTGGGGGGGCTAGGGGTTGCCAGCAGGGTCAACTAAGGGGGTTACTATACAAGCTAGCGTAATGATTCGCAGTACTCTGTAGCTAATTCAAAGCATGATGGACCGGGGTTGACATAACCCTAACCCCCTAAACCGTAAACCGACTTCTCCCGCTGTCGCCGGGCAGTCCCAGGAGACTTCTACTTGAGTCCTAACCCCCAAAGCCCTAAACCCTGAAACCCTGACCCCTGTAAACCTCTAAACCCTAACCCCCCAAACCCTAAACCCTAAACCCTTATAATGAGACCCCGTAGACCCGACACCCCAAAGGTGCAAAACGCGATAGGCCTTCAGCAAGCCGGAGCATTCCACCTCAAAGCAAATCGAATGAAGCTGTGTGCCCTAAGTCATTTATTCGCAGCGCGATGTGCGTCGGTGATCAATTCAGGAGCTGCATTCAGCGCTCGGGACCAGGCGGTGGCCAAAAAGATCCCTCAGTCATGACACAAACCCTTCGGAGCGTCAC